AGAGTTCCTGTTGCTCCACATCTGCACCAGCATTTGGAGTGGTTGATGCTTTAGATTTGATCCATTCTAATAGGTGTGTAGTGGAGTCTCATTGTTTTTATTTGCATATTCTAGTGATGTGGTGTTGAGCATCTTTCCATATGTTTATTTGCTGTCTGTTTATCTTATTTAATGAGATATCTGTTAAGATCTTTATTCCACTTTGTGCTGTTTTCTTACTGTTGACTTTTAAGAGTTCTTTGTGTATTTTGTCCTTTATCAAATAAATACAGGTTTTGCAAATATTTTCTCCCAGTTTGTAGCTTGTCTTTCTTTCTCTTAGAAGTGTCTTTCACAGAGTAGACTTTTTAATTTTAATGAAGTTCAGCTTATCAACTTTTTCTTCCGCAGATCATGCTTTTGGTAGTGTTATCAAGTCATTGCCAAACCCAAGGTCATTTAGATTTTCTTTTGTTTCCTTCTAGACATTTTGTAGTTTTGCATTTTACATTAGGCCTAAAATCCATTTTGAGTTAAATTTTGTGAGAGTATAAGGTCTGTATCTAGATTCATTTTTGCATGTGGATGTCTAGTTGTTCCAGCACCATTTGTTGAAAAGACTATCTTTTCTCCGAGTTGCCTTGTTCCTTTGTCGAAGATCTTCTTTTCTCAGTCCCACGCTGTATTGATTGTGCATTAATCAGTGTTATCAGTCTGGAAGTCTGGTAGTGTCGGTCCTTGTTCTTCAGAGTTGCATTGGCTGTTATGTGTTGTTATTTTGATTTTTCTCATGTAAACTTTAGAATCAGGTGGTTGATACATAAGAATTAGTTTGCTAGAATTTTGATTGGAATTATAATATTGAATCAATAGATTATATTGACAGAAACTGATATCTTAACAATAGTGAGCCAATACATAAAGACGGAGTCTCTCTCCATTTATCATCCTTTTTTGGAGATGAAAATGTCCCAAACTTAGATTGTGGTGATGGTTGCACAGCAATGAATGTACTAAAAGTCATTGATTTCTACACCTTAAATGCGTGAGTTGTATAGAATGTGAATTATATCTCAGTAAAGATGTTTTTAAAAATAGGCAGGAAGTGAGGAGGATAAAAATATTTTTTAATTATTGGGAGTGATAGTTGGGAAAACCAGAGGAAATGGTACAAACTAGAAGCTCGGAAAGTAGCTTTTTTAAAAAACCCTTTTTTTCTTTTCTTTTATTGACACACACAAACTCATAATTTAGTTATCTGAAAGTTAGGCTTCCGGGAACTTTGACTCCTGGAATACTGCTCTGTAAAGGAAAAAACACCTTTTGGGTTCAGAAAACATGTGTGCTAAAGCCATGGCCAGGACTTATTGAAAAATAATCGTGCTGGAGAAACACCTCTTAGAACAAACCCAAATAAAAGACCAAAAACTCATGGCAAAATGTTTGAAAGACAGTATATTGTGAAAAATGAAACTAAACTTTATATTTGACATTTTAGATTATGAT